GCGGACGCATCGCTCACTCAAGTAGGAGAGAGACAGATGTCGAACGCTGCCGAACGCGGAGGCCGATTGTGCCTCTTTGTCGCTCGTTCCGCGCTCTCGCTTGCACTTCAAGCCTTAAATGGAACGCCTCAGAGCGAGGTAACGCCGCATGAGTCATATTTTTTCGTGCGTGCAGCCGCTCCATCGAATTATAAGATGTTGTCACGTCAAAAAGATGTTACTTCCACCTAAAGAACAAGCGTCAAAATCAAACGTCAATTACTTGAACTGTCTAATGACAAACGATATTACAAACAACTCATGTCAAAAATAACCTAATTTATAATGAAACTGTAAAAATTTTAAGTTGAAAATGATATTATTCGCATCTGCAAGAAATCATTTAAGTGATGTCCGTTTCGGCCATTCGTGTACCATTTGTTGCACCGTTCCTGGATTTTTGGACAAATAATGTCAATAAATACTTTTACAAACACAGGCAACAACGCAACTGTTGCTCTTGGACCAGTAAGTCTATTCTGAGTTTGTACTTCAAGACTATAAACACATTAATATATGTATACGAGGTCTATTCAAAAAGTATCGAGAATTTTGTGTTTTTTGAATATCTATACACATCAAAAGAGCGTTGTTTTTCGATCGATTAGAAATCATTTAATATACAACTTGATTATAAACCAATGAGTTATTTGTCTTTGAAATTACCCATTTATTCTATCTGTAGTAAATATATATATAATTGGTATTCATTTTTTTTATATATGTATAATTAATGTTTTTATAGAATTAAATTCATCACCAAGTTGTTGTATCCCAAATCCTGCGTCGATATCAAAAGTTGGTGAGTATGATGATAAATATGGACACGTTTTAAAATAACTTAAGTATATTCTTATATGTGCGTTTTCTATTTAGATTCAATATGTTGCGTAGAAAAAAGACCGAAGAAATGCATGAAGAGACCAGGCACGTAAATGAGTTTCAAATATGAAAATCCTATTTATTAAAACTTCTTACATTTTCCAGTATCTAACTGCAAGTCGTCCCAAAGTTGTTCAAGCATTATTCCTTGTTCAAAAGGTTAGTATTTTTAGTACAGTATACCATTTAATATAGATATTTAGTCGTTGCAGAGGTTTCAAATAATTCGTTACCTTCAATTATACTCAATTCAACTAAGCCGAATTAATGCATATTGATGTTGTGTATTTGTACAGTATACATATAAATACGGTAGGTTCACTCCTGACTTTTCAATGATATTCTGTATAATCTAGCCCCTGATTAGCTGGAAACTCGTAGATGAGTTTGTGAATCGTCAGCAGGAGGCGGATGCTTGGGCGTGACTGGGAAGTGAACCTACATTACAGAATATTTTTACTGTGGTATTTTTTCGGGACAAAAAAAGATATTGTATGAAAATAAATAAAAGTAAAACAAAAATGCTGGTATGCAAGGGAAGAAAAAGTCGGGAAAGAGCGAATATAAAGATAGGAAACGAGAAATTAGTGGAAGTAGAAGTGGCTGATTTTAGATATCTAGGAAGTCAAAGGAGTCAGGACGGAAAGAGTAGTAGGGATATAAAGCAGAGGATAGCGCAGGGTCGAGTTGCCTTCAAAAAGAATCATTTCTATGTTCGCGAACGGTTAATTTAGAAATTCGAAAAAGGTTGTTAATGGTGTATGTGTGGAGCGCGGTGCTTTACGGGTGCGAAACATGGACGGTGGGCGCGGTGGAAAAGAAAAGGCTAGAAGCCTTCGAAATGTGGTGTTACCTGCGAATGATGAAGATACCGTGTATAGAGAAGGTTAGAAATAAAGAGATATTAGAAAGAATAGGAGAACAGAGAATTTAATGGAAGTCAATAAAAAATAGACGGGAGTTGTTAGTAAGATACCTTCTCAGGCATGAAGGTGACATATTAGATGCAGAAACGGGAGTTAGGAGGGGCAGAGGTAGACCTAGATTAGATTACTGTTCGCAAATAGTTGTGGGTTGTTCTAGTTTTGGGAAAATGCGAAGATTACCTCAGGATAGGAAAAAGTTGAGACGCGTGTCTTAGGATTGACGACCTTATGATGATTATTATGATGATGATGATGATTTGTTTCGGTCTTGGTGGTTGTCCAGGTTGATGATATTTCACTTACTTATTATCGAGCGGTCTACGAGACATTTTTGATCAGGATAACCACCACGCCACCCTTGAGAAAGCAAGGTGCACCTATAGACGTAGCATCGGGATGTAAGGTGTAGTTTTCGAAAGCAACTACTGGGAATCCCGAAAACAAATACACAACGTATATTAAACGCCGACCCTGAATGCCTAGACAAACTTAAGATACATACTGAATTTTGCATTATGATAAGGAAGACTTAATTGTTCTTTCATAAATCTGTTACTTTTCAGGTTCGCCATGTAATGTTCCAAAGCCTGAGAAAATCAAAAACAGTAAGTATCTTTACAAATAACCGCACGTAGGTATGTACCTGTTAAAGTAATGGCAAACCACGCAATATGCTCAATAAAAATTACTATTCAAAAGAGCATTCAAATAAATCTCTGATTGATGCTACAATGTTTATATTCGGTACAAATGCAAGTTTTTCTATTAGAAATTTTTTTAGTATGTTTCTACCTAATTTGACGTTTAATGATCTTAGGTTATTATTAATTGTCTTTGTCATTTTCAACTTACAAATTTTAGTGTTTTCCTTTCATGTACTGTCTCCATCTAATTTCAACTACATATTGTTATAAATAAAAGAAACGTGAATAGATATGAACTGGTAAAATAATGGAAGTGAAAAGAGTATATTATACGCTTTATTGTTGAAACAACAACAGTTCAAGGAAATGTCTAGAAATACTGAAACCAGTTCACAAGGTGTTTATAAAATCATGAAGTTACACTTCATTAGCTATTTACGTTTTAGATGATAAAGGCTTTCGAGCGTTTCATCTGTACATATACTTCGTTTACTTTCTGTAGCGATGTGACCTTCAGTTTGACCGGCGCGAAGTAGAAAAGAACAGCACTAGGCCAGAAAAGAAAGGAGACAACTCTCGGCCAAACTCTTAACCGGTGAGGAGCGTATAATCCATACAGTACTGCACGGAAAAATTGACCATTTTATCCACTATAATTTCATTGCTCAAATGTGCTGTTATTGGTACTATTTACTACTGAAAATATCAACGAGATGTTTATTTATATTTGAAGACATATTAAAGGCTTTAACGCTTGTTTTCGACTCGCACTACTATTCATGACTGAACAAAACTTTTGGCAGGTACTGTATGAAAAGGTATGTTTAATGAACAAGAGTCGAGCGTATAATGAGCTTTTTTCCCTACCTACGATTTTGCCAGCGCGCATCCAAGATATTGGAAGGGGCACATCGCTACAGAAAGTAAATGAAGTATACATCTCAAATCAAATTTTGATAGACCTAAAGAATTTAGAGAAGTAGTATAGCGATAGTTATTTACTACGTAATCTATTAAAAAAAACACAACAGTATGCGAACTTCCGCATCACTTTTCCTTTCTTGGAAATTAGATTGAACTGGTCACTTACATAGTAAAATTAGGGGAAGGTGTTTTAAACAATTTTCTTTCGTTTCCTTTACGAGATTGACAATTACTAATATAATTACAACAGATACTGTTTTTGGAGCATCACCTACGAGATAGGCAGAGATTTAACTTTTATCCATCTCAACTTAACCTAACCTACGCTATCTAACCCAACATAAGACAAACTAACAGAAGCTACGTTAGCTGGTATTAAGACGGATAACAATTTTCCCTTTCCTCTGGGGGTTATTCCTGCAGCATCTCGTAGTGGAGGCTTCTAATATAACTTTATAATTGAACCATTTTAAACCATTTTTAAGAAAAAAGGTTAATTTTTCCAAAACTCCGTGATACGGAACTTTCTAGTACTTCTAGTACTTTCTAGCAGTTATGGAACATTGTCAATAAAATAAAACAAGGTTACACAGGATTTTTTTCACAAATTATTTATTGCAAGGAAAAATACTACTTCTCTATCTTATCATGAGATTATTTTTAATCCTAATAGTAAACTAGAGACCCAGAGGACGTATTAAATCAAAGCTTTTTGATTCGAGGCACCCTATATATTTAAAATCTATATTCCAGACGCGTCAGTTTCTTCTTTACCACAGGACTACGACACCACCAATCCCCACGATCAAAGTCAAAATAAACATCGAAGAGATTCAGGTATCGCATAACATTATGTTCGAAATAAACTGATAAAAAAGGTAGACGTATCGTCGCACATGGCTGAAGTGAATACTTCTTAGAAAACAAGTGTATAAGATTCTTACTTTACTCAAAGCTTATTAAAACAAATGTGAGACTGGACCAATACACTGGACAAAACTCCTTGTACTCCACGTTCATTTTTTGTCCTTGTCGCATAAAAGTATTCACTTCCAAAATTTAAAGTATTGGAATTATTGAAGAGAGCCCTTTGAAAAGTCGCTGTCTTTGCTACAAACGAAGTTTCTCCTCTGTTATGTCTACTGAGTTACACTTTTTTCAATTGTAGGGTTCTGTACCCATAGGCAATTGGATCTTGTTCCTAATTAAGCTTAAAGTGTTTGTTAATCTGCCATAAGGCTTTATTTCAGTAACGGTGAGAATTAGCCACTTAAAATGTTCAAAGAATGTACATGTTTGTTATTTTAGCACAAATTTTACCAAATGATGACGTATTCATAAAACTTAATACTAAGGGATATAATACTCATTTACACCCATTGATATTCTAAAAATTTTACTCCAGTTGTATTTCAAAAACGTGTAATCATGCAAGTGCCATATTAATTCTATCGTTAAAATAAAAATCCCGGACAGAGGTAACTTGTCTAGCGTGGTACAGAACCCTCGAATACAAAGGTCATTCAAATATAAACGAGCCTTTTACTCTTGTGGACTTGGAAAGCGTTTAGCCGGTAGGCGTAGCGTTTGATAGGGAAGGGGGTATTGCTTCTAAATGACTCAAGGCCAAACGGGTCGCAGGACCGATTTGTTAAGTTGTCGTCGCAATGAGCGAAATAGAGGTTCACCATTATAATTTATGCATCATTATAAAATTTTTAACGAATGAAGGCGTTAAACTTGCCAAAATTCGAGACCGAGATCATGTAAAGTTCAGGGAGGATGTACGCTCATGATAGCGAATAAAAGCCTGGTGTGCCGAATTCAAGAAAGGGCGTGCAAATGTACAAAATTTGAGTCATCCAAGATTTGCCGTTCGCGAACTCATTCAAAGAGATTGGCGCTTGACCGTGACAAAAATAAGTAAAGTAATGGGAATCAGTGTTGGGAGTGTACACAGCATTATCCGAGACCAACTTAAACTCCGAAAAATCGCGGCAATATGGATGCCACGTTTGCTTACCCATGAAAACAAAAATGCGAGAATTGAAGTTTATCAGGCGCTTCTTGCTCGGTTTCACAACCAAGGGGAGGCATTTTTGCATCATATTGTAACGTGCGATGAAATTTGGATTCACCACTACACTCCCTAGTCGAAGAGGTCCAGTATAGAGTGGAGAACAAAAGGAGTCAGGACCATCGAAGGCGAAAACTCCCTTGTCAGCTGGGAAGGTGATGTTGATTGAACGACGTTTTGAGACTCTCAAGGAGTTTTGCTCCTCGATTTTCTATAAAATCGTCGTACGATAAACGCTCCAATTACTGTGACCTTCTTGACAAGGTTCGAGCTGCCTTTCGGCCAAAAAGACGCCGGCGTCCAATCCAAAATATCCTGCTTCTGCATGATAATGCAACACCCAACAATTCAGCCCTAATGGTCCAGAGATTAATGAAAATGCTTTGGACTAAACTCGACCACCCTCCCTACAGCCCTGATCATTCACCATGCGATTTTTATTTATTTGGACCTTTCAAGGAAGCACTTGGTGGGGAGTGTTTTGCGAACAATCAACAGGTCGAACAGTTTGTGCGTAAATGGTTGAATACTTGCCCGAAGTTATGCATCGAAAATGGCATGAAAAAACTACCTGTTCGATGGGAAAATGTATAAATAAAGAAGAGAACTATGTAGAAAAATTACTATCAAGTATGTTTNACCAATACTTCTAGATTTATAACCAGACTCTTATCATCACAGTCAACATAAAATGGTCAGTTTTAGTTGTCTAGTACGTACGTTACTTAGTTTTCCACTAAATAAGGATAGGTACTACAAGTAACTTTCTACAATATAATTGTAATATTACTGATAAAATAAAATATAAAAATTATATTTCAAAATCCTCAACTTTTCAAAAAGAAACCATCAAAACCAATTTTATTACTATACACGAGCCAATATTCAACCGAAGACTCGAGAAAATTTTTCGTAAACGAGATGCATATAATTCATGCCTGATCTCTCTTCAAACTCTTCTTAAGGAAAATCAATGATATATATGAAATTCCATTGTAAAGGTTCTGGTATGAAATATGTTGGGCAAACTAGGCGCTCAGTTTACATTAGGTTCAAAGAGCATTTAGCTCATACCAGGTTTGATAGAACTGAAAAATCCAGGGTTGCCCATCATATTCATACCGAAAATAATGGGATTAGTATTGACAAACTTAATTAATGAAAGAAATTAGAAGAAATTACTTCTTGATAGTTTTGAAAGTATGTTTATTTGTAACATTTTCTATAACAATAAATAATTTTGATAGTGTAAGAATTTTTGATTGATTTAAGTAATTACCTAATGTTTTTGGATTTTCCTTCAGTTTTGGAATAATGGAGACCTTATTATTTGATATTTGTTTCAACATGGTACATTTAGCCGTTGCTGGAAAAAAGGATCTCAAAGACAGACGGATTACAATGTGAGACTCTAAAAAAGTGGAATATAGAAGAAACCCAAAAAAGAAAAGAAAAAGACTAATGGTGATATACAAAAAGAGAGAAAGAGAAGTCCTAAACATAAAAAAAAACTGAAAATTTAAAAAAAAAATCGGTTGTCTGTAAAGTCGGTTTACTGACGATAGTTGAACGTTACAACGTCATAAGAAAATACTGATGGAATGGTTTCATTTTTCAAAAGAAAATTTTAATTTTATTTGTTTGATAGATATCTTGTATGGATATAGAGAAGGAGGTAAATGGAAATGTATTATTGTATAGCAGCTGTCCACGCGGACGCATCGCTCACTCAAGTAGGAGAGAGACAGATGTCGAACGCTGCCGAACGCGGAGGCCGATTGTGCCTCTTTGTCGCTCGTTCCGCGCTCTCGCTTGCACTTCAA